GGGGGTGGGAGGGATGGAGCCAGCCAGGGGTGGCATTTGAGGTTTCACTGAAATGGGCAGAATTCTAGCTAGAGGATCACCTAAACCTGTGCGAACCCCCAGCAGCCCACCCCTGATATCACAAACCTTCCACTGAGACCTCACAAGGTGTTAAAATTTGCTTTAAATTTTACAAGAGATAACCCAGCAACCACAAAGAAACGTTCAACATTGGTTTAACATTTTCCCCCTTGAAAAAAGCAGGCAAATGAGCCTACAGTTAGTCCTCAATGAATGACTAAGTGAAACAGGTGTTAAGTGAATTCTGTCCCATATTAGAACATTTCTTACTGCATTTGTTAAGTGAATCATTGCAGTGGTTAAGCTAGTAACATGGGTTTTACTTTCTCATTAAAAATGGAAAATTCTTCAATGCCCCAAACGAGCTACAAAATAAAAATGGCCCATCAATATTCTAATTCCAAGTATCTTCCAAGTATCTTTTCCAACATGAATTTTACTTTCCCTGTATTAAATTTACCATGGGGAAGTCCTTCTCTAGATTTTCCCAATCTGATCTTTTTCACACATTTCGACAAATTCACATTGTAGCATTTGCAAATTTTATAGAATTCAATCAGAACAATTCTGCCCTTCATTGCAACACAACTGGGGAAAAAACCTCCAAAGAGGAAGGAAAAAAATATATTATTTTTGTTGTTTTTAATTTTGCTTGCTTTTAATGGTTTCCTTCTCTTTCAGTTGTAAGCCACTCAAAGTCATGTGCAGGCATTTCTCACTTAATGACAATTGGGACAGGCAACTCCACTGTTAACTGAAATAGCCACTAAGTGGAAAATTGTGTGGCTGCAACTGTGATTTCCAGTTGGAAGCAGACAACACTACTCAATTTCACACCTTTGCCTTTGTCTCCTAATAAGTTCCCTGTCCTTTGCAATGCTAGGGTGCTTGCTATCTGTCTTGTACACATTAAAAGGAATATAAATTTTGATCACATGGCCATGGGGATGATTTAATGGTCGTAAGGGTGAAAAACGGTCATAAGTAGCTTTTTTCAGTGATGTTGTAACTTCCAAATGGTCACTAAATGAGCTATTGTAAGTCGAGGATTACTTGCACTGGGCTTGCAAGAGATGCCGTGTTTTGCTACCACATCTCCATCCTTGTTAGTAAATACAATGCAGCTACAATCCAGTGTAGTGATCAGATGGGTAAACATCTTAAGCATAACAAATTGCAGTTTTAAGTTCCAACTCTGTTGTATTTTCCATAGAAACCGAAGGCAGATAGCCAACCAGGAAACCCCAACACAGCATGCAAAAATACTCCTTCTTTTTTTTGTTTTGTTACAGCCCACAAACCTGTACAGGATTGCTGATTGATGTAACCTTCAGATGAGAAATACACAACATGAAATAAAGTTCCCAGAGTGAAAAGAAGAAGAAGAAATAAAGGAGGGGGGGAGACTCTTGATGAGACTGTTGAAAGAGCGATAAAAGCTTCACTCAAAGCCCGGACTTTAGCATCTGATTGTGGGAAACTTTCATTTAAACAGCCCAATGGAGTCTATTAGCCATCAATCTACGGGCACTAAATAAACCTTTAGCACCTCTTCTTAGAAATGGCCACATAATCGGCCAGTCGAGCTGCTGGAGTTACTGACAAAAAAAGAACTGCTACGGATTGGAGAAAGTTTATAGGGAAGAAAAGTGATTTCTCCACCAGCCATTGGCCGTAATAATGTCATGAAAACTTTATTTTCTTCGGGGGGGGGGGGAATTTAGCAACCTCAAAGTAAACCTCCCATCCCTTCAAATAAACAGGACAATACGTGAGACAGAAGTATTTGAGATAGCTGTTATTTTTCAGAAAATTTAAATTAGGGGAAAAAAAGGCTGAGTATATTCTAGACCACTGCATATTATANTATATATATAGTGTGTGTGTGTGTGTGTGTGTGTGTGTGTGTGTGTGTTGTATTTGTGCTGATAAATAAATAAATATATATATATGAAAGACCTAATTGAAAAGCAAAAGTTTTAAGTACAAAGCGAGGTGTGAGGTATTTATATGGATAGCTGTCAGGTGGCCAGCCAATGGGAGCGGTGTAAATCTCCCGCCGGCAGCCAACCGCACCTGGACCAATCAGGTTGCGGCTGGGCGTGGCTTGGCTGCCGGCTGCGTCAGGAGGACGCAACACCCCTTCCCCCCGGATAACGCATGCGTAGTCATCCAAGTATCTTGGCCGACTGCGCACGCGCTGGGACCGCCTTGGTTCGGGTGTGGTCACCAAAGAGGATGGTCGTGGAGGAGGAGCTCTGTCTGGGAGGTGGAGCGGAATTCAAGGCCCAGCCCCTAGCCTCACACCGAAGTTGGCAGGCAAGTCAGTGGTCGCGATGGCTGGTGGTGGGAGGCCGCCTGATGGTGTGCGCCGAGGTGCCCGTGGTTGCAGTTGGAGACTAGAGTCAGGTGGAGATGCCGGAGCGGTGAGGCCTTGTGGTCTGGGCTGCTGGGCCGGTGCACGGCGGTGCAATTGGTCTACATGGCGGCGCCAAATTCGTCCATCAGCAAGTTGGACCCTGTAGGAACAGGGTCCCGTTAGTTCCTGAACCACGGCCAGAACCCACTTTGGCTCTCCTGAGTAATTTTGGGCATAGACCTCCTCCCCCACTCGGAAAGCCCTGGGGGCAGACTCCAGGGAAGTGGAGAGGGGTGAGAAGTGGGGGTGCAGCCGGTCCAGGGTGGTGCGGAGGCGACGGCCCATGAGAACCTCGGCAGGGGTTTTTCCAGTGGTGGCATAGGGGGTGGAGTGCTGGGCTCGAAGGTAGGTGCACAGGCGGGCAGGCCAGGGCAAGGGGCTCAGTCGGGCCAGGCTCTCCTTGGCGGAGCGAACAGCGCGCTCCACCATGCCGTTGCTGGTGGGATGGTAGGGAGCCACCAGGGCATGGCGGATGCCCAGGCTGGCGAGGTAAAGGCGGAACTCTACGGAGGTGAATTGGGGACCATTGTCGGTCACCAATGTATCAGGGAGGCTGTGGGTGGAGAAAAGGCACTCCAGGGCATGGATGGTGGCAGCTGAGGTGACTGAGCGGAGGTGGATGACTTCCACCCACTTGGAGAGGGCATCTACTACTAACAGGAAGGAGCGACCATCAATGGGGCTGAAGAAGTCCGCATGTAGGCGGCTCCAGGGAGAGGAGGGGGTTTCCCGTTCCCGGGGAGGGGAGGAGGGTGGGGCGGGCCAAACAGCCTGGCAGGGTGGGCACCGCTGCACCCAGCCAGCGATGTCGGCATCCATGGAGGGCCACCAGACATATCCACGGCCAAGGGCCTTCATGCGGACAATGCCCAGGTGATCCTCGTGGAGCCGACGGAGCACCAGCTGGCGCAGGGTAGGTGGCACGACCACGCGGGAACCCCAGAGGAGGCAGCCCTGGAGGACGGAAAGTTCGGTGCAGCGGCGGAGGAACGGCAGGAACTCGGGAGAGCGAGAATCCACCATCCAGCCCCGGCAAACGGCGTCTAAAACATGGGAGAGGAGGGGGTCGGAGGCGGTGGAGGTGGCAATGTCCGAGGCGGAGAGTGGCAGCTCCAGGTTGTCGATTAGGAAGACGCCGGAGGCCACGGAGGGGGCGGGGGCGGAAAGCATGAGGGGCAGTGGACACCTGTTTAAGGCGTCCGCATGGCCCATATGCTTGCCCGGCTGGTATTGCAGCCGGTAAGCATAGGGGGAAAGAAACTCAGACCAGCGGGACATGCGTGGGGAGAGGATGGGGGGGGGGTGGCGCGGTCCTCGGCCAGGGTGCCAAGCAGGGGCTTGTGGTCAGTGAGGAGGGTAAAGGGGCGGCCATAGAGGTAGTGGTAGAATCTCTTGACTCCAGCTACAGCCACGAGCGCTTCCTTGTCCAGGTGGCTGTAGTTCCGCTCAGCCCTGGACAAGGTGCGCGAGTAGAAGGCGATGGGTGCCTCAGAGCCATCCGGAAAGGAGTGGCTCAAAACAGCACCCACGCCGTAAGGGGAGGAATCGCAGGCGAGGAGAAGGGGCAAGCGCTCGTCATACTGTGCGAGCATGGGGGCAGCTGTCAGAAGGTGTTTGACAGCTGCGAGCGCATGCGCCTTGTGGCTGGTCCAGGCCCAGGGGGGGGGAGGAATCCAGAAGGTGGTACAGGGGCTCCGCCACTGAAGCCTTGTGGGGGATGAAGGCAGCATAGAAGTTTAACAGCCCCAGAAAGGCTTGGAGCTCCGCCTTGTTAGAACCCGAGGAAGTCGACAGCGGAAACCCCAAGGCAGCACTTGGAGCACTTCAGGTGTAGACCTGAAGCTCAGAAACGGGAGAGGATGGCCCGTAGATTGGAGATGAGTTCTGATTGGTCCGGGGCGGCAATCAGGACGTCATCAAAGTGTGGCATCACGCCAGGGATCCCATGGAGCAGGCGCTCCATGAGTCCCTGGAAGAGACCGGGGGCGACGCTGATGCCAAACTGGAGGCGTGTACAGCGGAACGCCCCCCAGTGTGTGATGATTGTTTGGGCGGTTGCAGTGGCGTCGTCCACAGGCAGTTGCTGATAAGCCTGGGCCAGGTCCAATTTTGCGAAAATTTTGCCCTGACCCAAGGAATGCAGCACATGCTGGACGACGGGAACAGGGTAGGGATGGGCCTGCAGGGCCTTATTGACAGTGGCCTTGTAGTTGGCACAGACCCTCAAGGAGCCGTCCGACTTAAGGGGAAGCACAATAGGGGTCTCCCAGGGGGCATGGTCTACGGGCTCAACGATGCCCTGGGAGATGAGCTTGTCCAGCTCAGTGTCCACCTTAGCCTGCAGTGCCAATGGCACTCTGCGGGCTTTGAGGCGAATGGGGGCTATCAGGGGGTCGAGGTTTAGGGAGATTGGAGTGCCTTTGTAGCAAGCCAGGGTCTCGCTGAATACATCAGCGAACTCTGCCACTAGCAGGTCGATGTCAGAAGTCAGCCAGAGGGAGTTAATGCCAGCGATGGACAACCCAAAAGCCCGGAACCAGTCGAGCCCCAGGAGAGAGATCAAGGAGTTCCTGACCACTATGAGGGGCAAGGGACCGTGGAACCGCCCATACTGGACCGGCAGCATGAGGCACCCCAGGACAGGAATAGGAGACCCCTGGTAGTCCCGAAGAAGGCAAGAGGCAAAAGACAGTCGTTTCCGCATGAAGCGGGGGAAAAGTTGTTTGAGGTTGTCCCAGGAAACGATGGTTCTCGAGGAGCTGGTGTCGAGCTCCATCTGGCAAGGGCGGCCGGCCAGCAAGACGCGGAGATGCATCTTACCCCGGCTGCCGGATGTGGTAGAAGTGGCATCCATCTGCCATTCAGGGGCGAACCCCTCAGGCTCGGAAACAGCATAGCAGCGGGAAGCAGAAGAAGGCACAGAGGCCAGACCATGGCCGATGGGAGCCCTGGAGGCCCAAGGAGCCGAAGCAGGAGAACGGCAGACAGCAGCTATATGGCCCTTCTTGCCGCACTGGTGGCAAAGTGCGGCACGGAAACGGCAGGAGGAACGCTGGTGGCGGTTGCCGCAGCTGAGACACGAGCCAGTGTCCTTGAGGGAGAGAGAGTGCAGCCGGTCGACGGAGGCATCGAAGTCGGACCAAGGCTCTTCGTGTGACACCTGGCACTGGTAGGACGGAGGAGGAAGCGAGGCCAAGACTGAGGGCGGGAAACGGCGGAGATCAGGAGTGGACTGTCCAGCCATTTCGTACGCCCTGGCCTCATCCACAGCGATCTTCATGGACAACTCAGTCCGCGAGAGGATGCGCTGGTGGAGGTTCAGTTCGAGGAGCCCGTAGATGAATTGCTCCAGAAGAGCATCGTCCAGATCCAGAAACTCGCAGTCCATGGCAGCGGTGCGAAGGGCCGCCACGTATTGAGCGATGGACTGGCCCTCCCGCTGGATGCAATGATGGAAGTGCTTTCGTCTAGCGTAGCGGGAGGGAGCCGGCTCATAATCAATCTTGAGGCGGGAGAGAAGAACGTCAAAAGGAATTGCGTGGGAAGGTGAAGGAGCGGAGAGGGCGCAGGCAGTGGCAAACATCTCTGCCCCACAGTAATGAAGGAACACCCCCTTCTTGCGCCTCTCAGGCAGGTCGGTCAGCCCATGGGCTTGAAGAAATACTTTGAAGCGTTCTAGGAAGGAATCCCAGCTCTGCGCTTCAGGCCAGAAAGGAGCGAATGAAGAAGCAGCGGCAAGGGCCGGAATATGGAGAGGTTCGGTATCGCTCATCCTCGTCGCCAGGTTTTAAGTACGAAGCGAGGCGTGAGGTAATTTTCAGAACGCTTTATTAACAGGTTTTAACAGCAGTGGTATTCAGGACTCGCGCAGGACAGCGCCGCCTGACATCTATTTATATGGTTAGCTTTCAGGCAGCCAGCCAATGGGAGCGGCGTAAATCTCCCACCGGCAGCCAACCACGCCTGGACCAATCACGTTGTGGCTGGGCGTGGCTTGGCTGCCGGCTGCGTCAGGAGGATGCAACACATAGTATGTATATATGTAAAGCTGTGCAGTAACAAAAGTTTTTACACATTTATACTCAAATTCTGGAAATAATTCAGTAACTGTCACAACACGAAGAGCAAAAAGCAGTGGTGAAATTCTTTTTTTTTTTTTACTACCGGTTCTGTGGGCATGGCTTGGTGGGCGTGGTGTGGCTTGGTGGGCCTGGCAGTGGAAGGATACT